CCATGATCCCCCTAACTAATAAGCAGGGAGACTGTCTGTTTGCATCTCGAAGAGGATCATGTGTCTGGGGCCAGAGAGGCAGGACTCTGGAGCAGGCAGGGGGAGAATTGGAGGAGGCCAAGCCTGGGCTCAGGCTTCAGAGCTTGTCCGGGCTGGGGAGCTGCCCGTGTTCTTCACCGCAGACATCTGGAGATTCTAATTTAATCATTTGATTGTAAACGTGTATTACAAGGATCCTGTAGTAAAACTTTACTCAGATGTGTCACTAACGTAAAGTGTGCTCAAATGAGATGATGTACATTAGTTTGTTTTCCATCTTTAAGGCTGCATACGGATGTAAGGTACCAGAGTACTGTGGTGTGGATGGGACCCACAGCTTGCCAAGACTTCTGCCCCAGAGTGTAGGCACCGCCACTATCCCCGTGGTGGACTTTGTGGTCGCCAGCCCAAAGTCGACTATCTGAAATGCTTAGCAGTCAACGGTTAGCCACTGGGTGAAGACTTTTTCTAACCACAGCAGCTCGGTTAACTGTATACAGGGGCACACAGGGCTGTAATCTCTGGCAGGAGAGGATGCCCCCTCACCTATGAAGTCGGAGGTCCATAGTGCTGAAGTTCATATTACGTGCATATTCACTCTACGGTATCTGGGCATTTGTATTGATTCCTTCCATTTGGAAAATCTTTTTGAATTAATTTACCTACAATTGAAACTTTAGGATAATAGTAAGTGTGCATTTTTCTTAAGAGTAGAAAAGAATATAGCAGAGGACTCATCATCACGTAGTATGAAAACAGTGTTTTCATACTTATGTGTGGTCAGCTCGTCTGTGTTTGACACAAACTCTTGTTTGAATGTGTTCACCTTGAGAAATGTTGAAAATGTTACCTACATAGCCACTATTTTAAAATTTGTTTTTATTGTGTCATGCATGTAAGAGAATTTTCTATTATAGACTCAGGATGAAAGTCAGAGAAGATAATGGAACTTTATAGGAAGGAAGGGAGGGAGGGAGGAAGGAAGGAAAGAAGGGAGGGTGAGAGGGAGGAAGGGAGAGAGGGAGGAAGGGAGGGAGGGAGAGAGACAGGAAGGGAGAGAGGGAGGAAGGAAGGAAGGGAGGGAGGGAGGGAGGAAGGACGGAATGAAGGGAAGGAGGAAGGAAGAAAAGGAAGGAAGGAAAGGAGGAAAGGAGGAAGGGAGGGAAGGAGGAAAGGAGGAAGGGAGGGAAGGAGGGAGGAAGGAAGGAAGGAAGACCTCCTGGTGCAGTCAGGCCACATGTAGAGGAGTGTGTCCCGTTCTGGGCACTACATTTCAGGATGTGTGCTAACAACCGTAAGATCATAGAGATGGACTGGAAAGGGCTCCACTCCAAAGTCAGCTAACTGACTTTATTCATTTTGCAGAGGAAGAAACTTCCCGGCTTGCCCTGGGTCGACAGGCTAGTTAAGTATATGAGGTAGAATTTGAACCCAGCCCTTCCTGACTCTGATGCACCAGGCAGCTGGTGGCACAGTGGAAAGGACACTTCGCCAGCAGTCAGGAAGACCTGGGTTCAAACCCAGCCTCAGTTGCTTATTAGCTAGGTGACCCTGGTCAAGTCACTTAACCACTGTCTGCTTCAGTTTCCTCAACCATAAAATGGGGAAAATAGTAGCACCTGCCTTGTATAGTTGTTGTGTTGTGAAGATAAAATGAGCCATATTTGTGAAGCTCAGCACAGGGCCTGGCACATAGTAGGTGCTTAATAAGTGCTTGTCGCCCTCCCCCGCCCCTCCCCTTGTCACAGTGCTGTTCCAGAGGAGGACAGCCTCAGGGCGTTGGACCAGATTGCTTCCCAGTGCTATGGGTCCATGAGCTGTGGTTCTCCAATCCTGCTGCTGGTAAAGCCGCATCCTTTTAGACGCGACACTGTCGCTGTCACTCTCTGGACCTCAGTTTCCTCATCTGCAAAACAAGACGGTTAAGCTAAGTGGCCTCTGAGGTCTCTTTCAGTTCCACATCTAGCAGCCGTGAACTCTAGCTCCTTCCTCTCTCTGGGCCTCAGTTTCCACGCTAGGCTGGAGGGGCCCAGCTCCAGGCTCTGCAGAGCTGGTTACAAGGAGGCCCGTGTAGCCTCCTTCCTAAGGAGGATTCTTTCTCCCTGGCTCACTTCTCTGCCTTACACTGAGGACAAGCAAAGGCGTTTAATTCTTTTTATTTTTTTTTATTTGGGGTCGTCTTCCTGATTATCCAGTACTTGGAGTCCAGAAGATCTGAGTTCAAATCCAGTCTCAGACTAGCTTTGTGACCCTGGCAAGCCTTAACATCTGTCTCCTCATCTGTACAATGGGCATAATGATAGTATTTACTTCTCAAGGTGGTTGTGAGGATCAAAGGATGTGATATTTGTAAAGCGCTATTTAAACATTATTACTATTAATGTTACCATCCTAAGCCGCAACCCCAGGATATCTTAGGAGGGATGCAGCCTTGTTTCTCCCTATGCTGGGTGGTCTCCTGCCTCAGGTATGGTTTTGTTTGTTTGTTTTCCTTCCTTTGGGGGCAGCCTCCCTAGGACTTTCTCTTTCTGGTCTCCTCCCCTTTTGTCCCTGGGTTGGGTCTCTCCAGGGGCCCCTCCCATCCTTTCTCTTTTGTTTCTCCATATCTTTAGGATATGGAGACTAGGCTGGGTCTGTGTGTGTGTGTGAGTGTGTGTGTGTGTGTGTGTATGTGTGTCAGTGTGTGTGCATATGTATAAGTGTGTGTTTGTGTGTATGAGTGTGTATTGTGAGTGTGTGAGTGTGTATTGTGAGTGTGTGTGTTGTGTGTGTATGTGTGTGTCAGTGTGTGTGCAGATGTACAAGTGTGTATGTGTTGTGTGTATTGTGTGTATTGTGTGTGTGTTGTGTGTATTGTGTGTGTATGTGTGAGTGTCAGTGTGTGTGCAGATGTACAAGTGTGTATGTGTGTATGAGTGTGTGAGTGTGTGTGTATTGTGAGTGTGTGTATTGTGTGTGTATGTGTGAGTGTCAGTGTGTGTGTGCAGATGTACACGTGTGTGTATGAGTGTGTAAGTGTGTGTGTATGAGTGTGTGTGTATTGTGAGTGTGTGTATTGTGTGTATTGTGTGTGTGTTGTGTGTATTGTGAGTGTGTGTATCGTGTGTGTATGTGTGTGTCAGTGTCAGTGTGTACACGTATGAGCGTGTATGAGAGTGTGTGTAGGTTGTAGGTGTCTATGTCTTTATGGGGGGGGGGGTTTGCTCACTCCCTGCATCCAGACTCAGAGAGAAACAGGCTTGAGCTCAGTGTAATGAAGGACTCAGTTAGACGGCAAGCCTCTTGAGGGCAGGGCCCGTCTTTTGCCTCTTTTCCTATCCCCAGGGCTTAGCCGTGTGCCCCCCCCACCCCGGTGCTTATGGAGTGATGGGGCCTCCTAAAAGCTGACCGGGCAGCCCCGTTGGCCTCGTGGAGGAGGCAGGGGGTCCCGGCTCAGAGCTGGCCCGGCAGCTCCGTGACCCTACGGGCTTTGTGGTTGAGTCTGGGGCGAGAGGATGGAGGAAGGAGATAGAAGCTGGTGCCTGCTCAGCTCTGCCCCTCTGCCAGCCCCGGGGGAGGGGGCTTCCTGGAGGGGTTTTTTTGGCAGCTCGGACCCACCCCAAGGCCTTTCCGGAGGCCCACTCTCGGGAGCCCTCCCTGCTCTGCCTCCTTTTTTTCAGGCCTTCCGTCCACTCCAAACATAGATGTCGTGGGGCCTCATGTGGGGGAGTTTTCTTCTGGAAAACTGTAGTATTTCATTCTTTTAAAGTGATAATTATTTTCAATTAACAAAAATGTACCTTCTCTTCCTATTTAAAAGAAACAAAAAAGCCTTTCTAACAAATATTTCTGTTAAGTTCAGTCATGTCTCACTCTTTGTGACCCCATTTGGGCTTTTCTTGACTGAGATACTGGAGCGGTTTGCCCTTCCCTTCTCCAGCTCGTTTGCAGATGAGGAAACTGAGGCAAACAGGGTGCAGTGACTCGCCCAGGGTCACACAGCCAGTAAGTGTCCTGCCTCTATCCACTGTGCCACCTAGCTGCCCACTTTTAAAAAGTTGTTTTCCCAGGAGCTTTATTGGAGTCTCACAAGCCCTGGGGCTGCTGGGATATCATTGGACCCAATTTATGGATAAAGAAACTGAGGCTCGGAGAGTTTAAGAGTCTGAGGGCTAATGAGTGCCAGAGGCAGGATTTGAACCCAGGTTTTCCTAACTGCATCTTGCACTCTCTCTTCTATCACCACACAGCTAACAGGGGCTTGAGAGCTTTAGAAACTCCCCTTGATAATTATAATATTTTACATTTTTCACATGTATTGTCTTTAAATATGTGTTTATTAATCTCTTGTGTTTACATCACTGATATTCCCAATGTACTCCTCCTTGCTCCCCTCCCAGAGATCCATCCCTTATAACAAAGAATAAGACAGGGTTGTGAGTGTGTGTGTGTGTGTGTGTGTGTGTGTGTGTGTGTGTGTGTGTAAAGGGGAGGGGGAGAATCCTTTACATTTATCTGAGGCTGGGGAAGGACATAGGGTTTAGGGGCAGGGTGAGTCTGCCTGGGGGGGGCACACAGGACGTGGGCTGACCAGGGGTCATTCAGGGGTGAGTCAGGTCAACTTGGCTCTCCTCCTCTTGCTGTGGGCCAGCCCTGACCTGTCCTCACCCAAGTCCTGGCCCCATCTGCATGACCTTAGACAAGTCCTTTCCTCTCCTAGGATTCTCTCATCTGGAAGATGAAAGAGTTTCACGGTGGCCTTCAGGGTCCCGTGTTTCCCTCCCTCTCCGGCGGCCCTTTGAGGGCTGGGCAGCTGCACTCCCTGACAAACACAGCCCGTTGAAGCTGCCAAGGAAGGGTCTCACTGAGACCAAGTTTTCCCACCAACACAAGTATCCGATGCCTCACTTTCTCTGCCCTTCCTGGCTCCCAATGGGCCCGTGATGACCTTTTTTTTTTTTTTTTTTTCCATTTCTTTGCAGCTGGGTGGCTTTGTGCTATCCCCTGTCTGGTTCATCTACAGCCTTTTCATGAAGCTTTTTGGGAAGTCGGCTCCCCCCATCACCCTAGAGAACCCTGAGGTGAAGTACCCGTTGAGGCTAATTGACAAAGAGGTGAGTGATAGGGTCCAGCCTGGGTGGGGATGCTGAGACCTCTCAACTTGGGGATACTCCTTCCTGGGGGCTTTTGAGCAAGGGCACTGTGCTGGAAAGTCAGAGGGAAAGTCAGAGCCCCTTCCTGGTTGGACTGGGTGGGGCGCTGTGTCCCCTCTGCCTCTGGATCCCAGATCCCAGGTCCCAGGTCCCAGGTCCCAGGTCCCAGGTCCCAGGTCCCATCACCGGTAGATAATGTCTACTGAGCTCTAACTAGGTACAGACCTCTGGAATACGCATCCATCCCATGCACCCCTGGAGGGCTGAGTAGCTCCTACCCTGGGCCTAGAGGGGCTTTGAAGAAAAATCAGAAAAGCTACTCAATGCAGAAAGTAATAGGATTCTTCTATACATTTCATTTTTTTTCACTTTTATTTTACATCTTTCTTTTTTTAATTAATAAAAATTAATCTTCTTTCTCTACAAACTCTTCTTCCCCTCTTCCCCTCCCTGTGCAAGGAGAAAAAAAGAAAAGCAGCAGCCTATGCTGCATCAGCCAGGATCTGTGTCTGAGTATTCACCTTGAGGTCGCCCCTTCTCTGTCGGGAGGTGGGCAGCGGGCTTCATCACGATGAGTCATTGTGTCGATCAGTAATCCTCACGGCTTTCACCGTTGCTTGTTTCTGCTGTGTCTTATTGTATAAATTGTTCTCCTGGCTCTGCTCACCTCATTTTGCATCAGTTCAGACACGTTTTCGCGGGTTCTCCGAAACCACCCCCTTCCTCATTTCTTACAGCACAATAGTATTCCATCACCTTCACGTACCACAGCTGGTCCAGCTATTCCCCAACCGATGGGCATCCCCTCACTTTCTATTTCTTTGCCACCCCAAAAAGAGCTGCTATCAGTATTTCTGTATTATGTGGGGCCTTTATCTTCTTTCTTTGATCTCTTTGGGGCAGAGACTTAGCATTGTTGGGTCAAAATGTATGCTTAGCTCAGTAACTTAGAGAGCCTACGAGGGATTCCAGAGAAAGGGCAGAGCAGAAAGGAGGGCGTCCTAGACCGGAGAACGGAACACAATTAAGGGACAGACTGTGGAAGACTAAACCTGAGAAGTCAGAGACTGTTCCCAGACTGTAGCCCTGGGGCACATCCGGCCTGGCTGAGCCTTTAGGAGGTACTTCCTAAGAGAAACAGCTGAATGAGCAAAGAATGTTAAGCACAGAAGAGAGAATCTATGGAAAGAAGGGAGTGAAGGGGGAAGGGGCCTCCGAGGCCCTCAGTTTACAGAAAGGGAGACTGAGGCCTAGCTAGAGGGCAGAAGAGACAAGGGCACACAGGATGTAAGTGGCAAAGATAGGACCCAGGGTCTGAGAGGCAGCCTCGATGGGTTATACTTAATTATGGGGTCCCAGAAGGAGAAACAAGGATTGGTGGGTGAAAGCAAAAAAAGAAAGATTTCAGGTCAGCATAAGGAATAATTTTGACTTTGGGGAGGTTCTAATTGGGAAGGAGTTGCCCCAGTAGTGATGAGCTCCCCTGCCTCCCCCTGCCCTCATCACTGTAGGCATTCAGGCAAAGGTCAGATGATTATCTAGCAGGGAGAGGCTTAGCAGGCATTCCTGTATGAGGTAGAAGGCTGATGAGAAGACTGTTTAGGCCCCTTCTGACTCCTATGATTCCAATTCAACCCAACCCCCCTCTTTTTGCCAACAGGAATAAGGTAAGGATTGTCTTATTCTCTGTGCCTGCATCCCCAGGGCCTGGCACAAGGTAGGCACATTCATATGGGTTGATTGATTGATTGAAGGAGCAGATCTGGGACCAGAGCCCGGGTCCCTGACTTAGTTCAGAGCCCTGTCTTTGGCCTGAAAAGAAACCAAGATGCTCAGTGTGGGGTTAGGCTTCCCGTGTGCGCCTCCCTCTGAGCTGATAATAGCGATGATAATATTCATAATGACAGCATTTACACAGCACTCTCCGTGATCCCCTGACAAGCATGATAATTATAGCTCCCATTCCTATAGAACTTTTAAGGTTTGCAAACCACATTCTTTCCTTCTAACCCTGGGGAGTAGATATTATTATCCTCATTTTACAGATGAGGAAACTGAGGCAGGGAGCAGCCAAGTGACTCACCAGGGTAGCACGGCTTAAGTGTCCGAGGCCAAATTTGAACTCTGGGCTTCCTGACTCCAAGGCCAACACTCCGTCCACTGCGCCGCCCAGTCCAGGCCCGGGTTCAGCCCTTGTTCCATCTGCACCGGGGCTCCGGGCTGGGGAACCAGGGTGACTTTTTCTGGATCAGGCTTAGACGTTCCACACAAACAGGAAGGACGGAGGCCGACCCACACACCCATTAAAAATCCTCTTCCTCCCCTTCCCCTTTGAAAACAAGAGTTGAGTCACTGGAAAGCCAGCCCTGCAGACTTTTCCTCTGTCGTCCTTTCTTCCCCTGGATGACTTCATGGCTCCCAGGGCCTGGCCAGGTAGAGTTCCCTGAGGCGACCCAGTGTTTACTTTCACCAACCCTGACACACCTCACAGGGCCCTGCAAAGTAGGGCAAGGCAGGCAGAGTGAGGCCCGGGGCCTCACCCTCTAGAAGAACCAGAATCCTCCCGCCCTACCACGCCCTGGGCCAATGGCCAGCCAGACTGCTCCAGCGCCTTTGGGGACAAGGAGCTCACTACCTTACTCTGGGACTGCTCTCTTTACCCGAATGTTTGTCCTGATGCCTGATGCCGGATGCGATTTCCACCCATTGACCCCAGTTAGACCTTGGGGCCAAACAGGTTCCTTTCCCTGGGACAGCCCTTCACATAGTCAAGGATGGCCTCTCGGACCCTCTGGGTCTCCTATTCTCCCGGCTAAGCCCCCCCAGTTTCTTCAGCATGGCTATATCGTGGGGATGCGCCTCCCCCGTCTTGTACTGGTGGAGTCAAGAACCCTCATAAGTGTAGCTTACATTTATCCCTGTGAGGCATGGTCATCCCATTTTACAGATGAGGAGACTGAGACAGTCAGAGGTGAAGAGGTTTATATGTGTGGAAATATGCAACACCCTGAGAGAAGTCTCTTACAGCCCTGTGACCACGGGCTTTTTGTAGACTCGAGTTGTTATCCAGCCTTTGCTGAACTGCCCCAGGGACGGGGAGCTCACTACCTCATACCGTCCATTGCTGGAGGTAGCTCTGATGGTCAGGAGTTCTTCCAGTTTACCCAATCCAAATCTGCCTCCCCGGGACTGTCCTCCGTTCTCTGCTCTGCCCCCTGGGACCAAGCAGAACATGGTGGCCCTTCAGATGTTGGAAGGCAGCCCTCATGTCCCCCTAAGGCTTCTCTTCTCTGGTCTAAACAGCCCCAGCTCCTTCAGCCCAGCCTAGATGTCCTGTCCTGATGAGCCACTCTGCTTTGCTGCTTAGAGGCCATTAGGGGGTGCCACAGCGCACAGAGCACTGGGCCCGGAGTCTCAAGATCTGGGTTCAGCCTCAGACACTTACTAGCTGTAGGACCCTGGGCAAGTCACTTCACTCCTGCCTGCCTCAGTTTCCTCATCTGTAAAATGAGGATAATAATAGCACCCGATTCCCAGGGTTATTGTGAGGATCCAATGACATTATTATCTCATCGTAAAGCGCTTAGCGGTGCTTGGCACTAGTGAGAATTTAGTAAATCCTTATTTCCTCCCCTTCTCCTCTCTTTTGGATCTTTCTGGGATCTCATCTGTAGGGGTATAGTCCTTCCACCAGCGTAGATTGCAACCCATCCTGGCCTGCTTGGCCTCTGGGTTTTCTGTCCATGTTCTCCCAGAAATTCCCCAAAGATGAGTTACTGGCAAACTCTGGAGGCCTTTGCCTGGTTCTCCAGAATTTGGAGGGTTCCAAAATTGGCCTGACATTCCCTTGTTCTTAGGCCCCTTCTAGCTCTGACATCCCCTGTTCTCAGGGCCTTCCCACTTCTGACATCCCCTGTTCTCAGGCCCCTCCCAGCTCTGATATTTTGTGATTCCTTCCTTCTCTTTTCCAAGATGGGTAGAGCACAGAGTAGCTCCTTCCCAAGCCACCTCCACACCATGCCTGTGGTTAGATAATCCAGGCTCTGGCCCTACCCTCAGCATCCAGACTTCTTAGGAGTGTCTGGCCGCTCACCAAACATCCTGAGTCACTTTGTCCTGGGATGATGGTTATGTCAAGTATGAAAACGGTGGAGCATAGGAAGCCTCAGGAAGCTTTCCAAGCCTTCCAAAACCATGAAGAAAATGAAACATGAGATTTTAAGTGACTTGCCCAGGGTCACGCAGGTAGATCCCTAATCTCGATCTGGAAGGGCCATTCTACAGATGAGGAAACTGAGGCCCAGAAAGTCCAGGTGGCCTAGCCACCCGCCCACTGACAGTAATGGTGGAGCTCAGTAGGAGGAGGAGTTGAGTTGGAAAGGGAAGCTTGGGGCAGAGCAGAATTCCTGGAATTCTGGCTCAATGAATTTGGATGTTTTGTTCATCAGGTTAATAGGGAGCTAGGGATTGTTTCTGAGGGGGGGATGTGATTGAATTAGAACTGGGCCGAGCTTCCTGCCCTGCCACAGTCCTCTGTCCCTACACGTTTGTGAGGAGAATGGGACCCCATTGGCTCTGGGCTTTTCTCTCCCAGACATGCCTGGGAGGACACGATTCAGGTTTGTGAGATAGCTCACAGGGTCTCTAGTCTACCTTTGCCCGAACAGGAAATCCTCTCTGTCATTCCTGGTAAGAAGCCTCTGCTGAAAGACCTTTTAGCATTGGGGATCTCACTACCTCTCAAAGCAGCTGGTTCCACCTCTGAAGAACCTCTTTTTTTTAGTAATATTTTATTTTCCCCCCATGTACACGTAAAGACAATTTTTAACATTCATTTTTAAAATTTTGATTTCCACGTTTCCTCTCTCCCTCCCCCCTCCCTGAAACAGTAAGCAATTTTATACATGAAGAACCCTGATTCTTAGGTTTTTCATTACATTGAGTGTCCCCATAATTCTGTGCCCCGGGGTCCCAGGCAAACTATAGTCCTTAAGGACAGTGAATGCCTTTTGGCCCCCATTGGAGACTTCTTTCCAGGCTGCGCCTCAGTTCCCTCACCTAATCCTAACTGGGCTTTCCAGCCCCAGTCTGCCGGGCTCTGGTCTGGGCCCTTTCTGAATGTAGCTCTGGTCCTCCCTGCTACAATCCCCACCAGGACCTGGGGCGCTGGGATGGCCATTGGTTACAGGTGGGGAGCAGCCGCTGGCCAGAGAGATGGGGCTTCCCGTCCACCCCAACTCAAGCCCAGCTGGGTCACGTGGAATAAGGGCCATTCAGCCATGGAAGGATAGGAGGGATAGGAGGGGGTGTTTCTGTGGGCTGCCAGCTTAGGTGCCTACAAAAGGGCCGTGGTAACAAACACCCCAAACAAAGCAGAGAAGCCCGTCAGCTGAGAATGCGTTTAAGAGACACAAAGGTGAGAGTGCCCTGGGCTTTGCCCCATCTGCCTCCTATGGGGCAGTGGGGTCAGTACTGGACGCCTCCTGTAAGGCAGGGCACGGTCAAGCTCCGAGTGCAGCTGGGGAGGCCAGGAGGGAGCAGGGCCGTCACGGGAGGACCTAGCAACAAAAGCCTACCTTGGGCCTGGCTCTGCTGGGCAACGTTGAAAGTCAAACAATCCCTCCCCTTGGGAGCTACAGTGTTTCAGGTCATTTGAGAGGCCTGAGAAAGGTCGTCCTGTTGAGGAGCCTTGGTGGGAGGGGGGAGCCAGGCAGGTTAGCCGCCATCTTCAAGATGTTTTTCAGTCGTGTCTGACTCTCTATGACCCCATTTGGGGCTTTCTTGGCAAAGATACTGGCGTGGTTTGCCATGTCTTTCTCCAGCTCATTTTACAGATGAGGAAACTGAGGCCAACAGAGTGAAGTGACTTGTCCAGGGTCACACAGCTAGTGAGTATCTGAGGCTGGATTAGAACTCAGGTCTTCCTGACTCCTAGAGAAAGACATGGCAGACCACTCCAGTATCTTTGCCAAGAAAACCCCAGCTGGGGTCACAGAGACCCAGAAATGACAGAAACGACTCAGCCTCAGCTTCCTGGCTCCAGGGCCACCTGGCTGCCCTGGCCCAGTCTGCTTGGCCCGGAGGGCAGAATCAGGAGTGGGGGAGAAGTCGTGGAACTAGGTCCCAGCTCCATTGAAGGCTCCCATGAGCTTCCTAACGATTATGTTGTCTAGAAGTAGAGGGGGCCACGGGTGGGAGGGGAGGGTCCCTCGGCCCCAGGACCAGACAGCTTTCAAGCAGAAGCTGGGGGGCAGATCATCGGGCTCATGGCATGAGGGATTCCTGGTCTGACTCAGTCTGCCCTCTGTGAGCAAAATTCCCTGTTTCGAGGGGTTCCTGACCTGCTCAGGGAGGGGAGGCAGAGACTAGGGTCCAGGGAAGGACGAGTGTGGGGATGGTGCCGAGAGGGTGAGAGGCTCAGGCGGCTGGAAAGGATCAGAAGAGGAGATGCAAGAGGGGACTGGTCCAAGGCGATAGAGCTAATAGGCGTCTGAGGACAGGAAGGGCGTTCAGCTCAGGTCTTGAGGCCAAGCCCTATCCCTGTGCTCCACACCGAGGGCTTCCTGAAAGAGTTAACTAGTGCAGGAGAGCCAGATGGACAGATGGGGATGTCCATCCGGTTCACAAAGGGAAGGGAGGCCCTGGCAGCCGGGCAGCCCCAAGTCCCTCTTCAAGAGTGACGACCCTGGGACTTTCCCAGACTTTTTCATGGAGGCTACACATTGAATACAGGAAAGAGTTCTGAACTAGGAGGCAGAAGATCTGGGTGCGAATCCTGCCCTGATACTCATTAGCTGTGTGACCTTTAACTCTCTTAGCTTTGGTTTCTTCTTGTGTATAACTTTCGTAGGGTGATGTATTCCAAAGAGTTGTTGTAAAGAAAGTGCCTTGAGATGCTTCAGAAATGAGGGGGTGGGCATGGGACCAGTGAGGTCTCAGGTGAGGACGCTCCCCTCCTAATGCCAGTCAGCACCTTCTCTGGATTGTTTGGGGCACGGAGAGTTTAAGTGACTTGCCCCAGGGTCCCACAACCAGTATGTGTCAGAGGTGGAACTTGAACCCAGGTCTTCCTGGCTGTAAGGCCAGTCCTCAAGAACCTTCGTGCCTCGCTGGTCTGACTGTGGTTGATTAGAACGTCGTTTTTTTCTCCCCCCCAGAGCATCACCCATGACACACGGAGGTTCCGGTTTGCCCTCCCATCTCCACAGCACGTGTTGGGCCTCCCCGTCGGTGAGTCCTGTTCCTAACCTTGGGCTCCCATGGGGAGTCTGACAGGAAGCCTTGCCCTCTTGGGGCGATGCTTGGGCCCCGGGGGCAGGGATGGGGGGGAAGTGGGGGGAGCGTCTTCTGGGAGCTTGCAGGGCAGGGGTCTGAGCTGAGCGGCTCCCAGCCTCCCTCATCATCCTCTTGCGCTTTCTGTGTGGCCAGTTTGGTCCCTGGACAGATTCTCGTGAACACCCAGTGTCCTCACCATAGGTGGTCAGTGAGGCTGGGAACTCTCTTGGTCACAAACATTCTTCCTTTCGTTTTAGTTTAATTTTTATAGAGATCTTTTAGTTTGGCATTATCTCTCCTCGTGTGTGTGTGTGTGTGTGTGTGTGTGTGTGTGTGTGGTATACATTTTTGTATATATGCATAAAGGTCCCATATATACATGTGGGAATAGATGGATGGATATATGTTCCTTCTCTGCCCTATCCAGAATTCCACCCTTTGTGATCCAAAGTAAGAAAGAAAAGGAAAATAAAGGCAGTTCAACCAAACTAACCCCCCCATCCTGGAGTAGGACAGGGCAGGCAGGCCTCCTCAGCTGTCCTGGCCAAAGAAGGGGAGACAGCCCCTCCTCTGAGGCTGGGAACTTGTTTTTAAAATTTAACTTGTGTTTAGGCTGAATGCAAATGCCAAATCAAATGGGCATTTTCATATATGTAATAGAAGGGAAAAAAGTGGGGGGCGCCATCTCCGCGTGAGCTCCTGGTGACCCAGTCTGAAGGCCAAGCATGAATGTCCGGCCTGGGGACTCCAATGTCGTGCCCTGGCATTCAAGGGCGCTGATGACTGGGTGTCAACCACGGGGCCGCGACTGCTGGGGGTGGGGGCGAGCTCCCCCTGCTGCCGCCGCCACCCCCGCCGCCACCCCCGCCGCCTCCAGCTTCCTCCTCTTCCTCTTCTTCTTTCTCCTCATCAGTCAAGGCTTCTTACTCTGATCTCTTCAAGCTTTCACTCTCTAATTGCCATATTCCGATCTAATCGGTTTCTTTTGTGACCTGCGGGCTTTGTGAATGCGATGCATTTCACAACATGGCATACCACCCCAGTATCTATGCCAAGAAAACCCCAAATGGGGCCACGACTGAGCAAACACAACAGATTTCACCCCATGGTTCTGACCCGGGCCGCCACGGGCTTCCCCAGGCCGATTGGCCAAGGGCGGCCACGGCACAAAGAGAGGGAGGAATTCTTACCCTAGAGAGCCACCCTGAAGCCCCGGCCTCCTGTTCCATCCTCCCTCAGGTCAGCACATTTACCTCTCAGCCCGGATTGATGGGAACCTGGTCATCCGGCCCTACACCCCAGTGTCCAGTGACGACGACAAGGGCTTCGTGGATCTGGTTATCAAGGTGAGCCCCCCTCCCCCAAGGTGCCAGGGGCTTGGGCTGGCATTGGAGAGGACTGGGCATTTCTTCTGCGCCATCAAGGAGCCGTCCTTCATTACTTTTCTTTTTCCATCATGGGACTAGAGCCCCCTGTCTAACTTCTAGTTAATGAGATCCAGCCATCACCTTGTAAATAGCAAACCACATGCTTCAGAATCTGCTGAATTTCCATCTCCGTCCCCTACTCCCCACACGGCTCCCTTGGCCAGGGGCTTACAGATTACTGTGGTCCCTCAAAGCCTTTGGGAGGCATCATGGTGGCCAAGAGGTGTTGAGAGATATTGCAAAGGTAAAATATGGATCTGTGGGGTGGGAGAGAGAAGTGAGAATGAAACGGAAGGCTATGAGCCTGGAGGACTTGGGGACTGGTGGTGCCCTTGATAGTGATAGGAAAACCAGGAAGAGAGGAGGACTTGGTGGGTGAGGGGCTGGGGGGTGATAATGAACATGTTGAGTTTAAAGTGCCTGGTGGACATCCCGTTTTTGATGTCCAGTAGACAGCTGGAGATGTGAGACTAGCGTATAGGAGAGGTGAGGGCAGCAGGATAGAGATGGTCATTAAATCTACAGGAGCTGATGAGGTTCACATTGGCCCTAAGGTCCAACGGAGGTGGAGAGGGAGAGGTGAGGCTGGGCCCTCTGGCCATATAGCGTGGATTATCCCAGGGCATCAGGCGGTGGTGTGAGGGGGATGGAGTCCTAGGGGTTTGGAGAGAATACTGGAGCCACAGTGGTTAGGTGGCCCAAGCAAGGACCCTTACCTCCTTCCTGGGCAGGTGAGGCAACCAGAATGCCCCTCCAACCCCCGCCAGAGACCCTTTCCTGGGACTTTATGACTCAGGGCTGGAACGAACCTTAGAGACCATCCAGGCCAATGAGCCTTAGATGAAGTGACTGCCCATAGAATCACGTGACTAGCCGAGTGGGGTTCAAGCCTAGCTTCTCAGACACTGCATTCAGGGCTCTCTCTCTTCTCTTTCTTCCTTATTCCCTCGCCAGCCTGCCAAAGGGTCTGAAATTTCAACGTGAGGTACGCACTTCCTGGGGGGGGACTTAGAATTTTAGATACAAGCGTCCTTGGGGCGCCTAATGTTGCTATGTGACCTTGAGTAAGTGACTGTCTTCTCTGGGCCTTAATGATGGGAAGCGCATTGACCCTGTAAGCAAAAGACCTGGGTTCGACTCTTACCTCGAATACTTACTGCTTAAGTGACCCTGGGTCACAGTCCCCTCTCTGTGCCTCAGTTTACCCATCTGTGAAATGTTGGACCTACATGGGCTCTGAGGCCCCTTCCAGCTCCATGCCTAGGATCTTGTGATTCCTCACCCACAGAACGAAAGGGGTGACTTTATTGCTAAGGTCCCTCCCAGCTCTGACATTCAGCGAGCTGGAATCTATTAAATTGTTATCAATCATTTCTATGTTACTATTCCTTAAGTGGTCAGGTTGTTTTCCAATAGGACTGCTCCTTGAGGACTCAGGGTGGTGGTGGTGAGGGGAAGATGAGGGTCAGGGCTGATGAATGAAAAGGATGGCCCTGCTGGGAGGCCCAGGGCAGCCAGGAGATAGCTCGAAGCCCCCAGTTTGGGAGGCGCCCCCAGAAGGAGGGGCTGGCCCAGACTACAGATGGCTGTCGGTCTTGGGGTTTGACTTAAATGGTGGTGGTTGGGGCGGTGTTTTCTAGATTTACTTCAAAGACACAAATCCCAAGTTTCCTGCTGGCGGGAAGATGTCCCAGTACCTGGAGAGTATGAAAATTGATGACACCATTGACTTCAGAGGCCCCAGTGGACTGCTGGTCTATCATGGTAAAGGTAAATTGGTTTCAGCGTTTGTCATCTTGTGTTTTTACATCACCTTGACTTCCAAAGAGATCCTACCCCTTTTACCTACCTAGTGAGTAACAAAGAACGTAACAGAAAATGAATAAAAAAAGCAAAGGAAAAGCAAGGCAGTTGATTAAAACTAACCAACGTATAGATTGAGTGTGACATGATGTACAGTGTTCCACATCCACAACCCTCCACTTCCACAAAGAAAGGAGGAAAGTGCATTTTCTCTTTCTCTTTTAAATATTTTTACTTTATTTTATTTTATTTTTGGCTAGGCGATGGGGTTAAGTGACTTGCCTGGGGTCACACAGCTAGAAAATGTCAAGTGTCTGAAGTTGAATTTGAACTCAGGTCCTCCTGACTCCAGGGCCGATTCTCTATCCGCAGCGCCACCTAGCGGCCACAATATTTTTATTTTCAAATGACACTCCACTTACTCTTCTGTTTATTCTCTTGCAATTGGGAAAACAAGAAAAACAAAATTCCTTATTATAAATTGTATAGTCCAGCTCAAACAAATTTCCCCATTGGTCATATCTCAAAAAACATGCTTCTGTCTGCACTCTGGATCTATCACCTCTGTATCAGGAGGTGGGCAGCACCTTTCATCATCAGTTCTGTAATTACGGTTGGTCATTGTGTTTATGAGAGTTATTAAGTCTTTCAAAGTCTTTGCTTATCTTTGCAGTATTGTTATTGTATAAATTGTTCTTTCTTGGTTCTGCTCGCTTCACTTTGCATCAGTTCATGTAAGTCTTCCCAGGTTTTTCTGAAAGCATCCTGCTCATCACTTCTTATAGTACAATAGTATTCCATCACATTCATATACTATAAATTGTTCAGCTATTCCCCAATTGATGGCACCTTCTTAGCTTCCAATTCTTTCCCATTGCAAACAGAGCTGCTATAAATACTTTTGTACATATGGGTCCTTTTCCTCTTGCTTTGGTCTCTTTGGGGTATAGACCTAAAAGCGCATCAATCCTACATCAAACACAGTTTAATAGTTTTTGGGTATAGTTCCAAATTGCTTTCCAGAATGTCTGGACCAGTTCACAACTCCAGCAACATTGCAGTAATATACCTATTTTCCTACAGCCTCTCCAGCGTTTGTCTTTTTCCTTTTTTGTCAGTTTTGACAATCTGATGGGCATGAGGTGTGACCTCAGAGTTTTGTTAATTTACATTTCTCTAATTAGTAGTGAGTTAGATAATTTTTTCTTACATGGCTAGTGACAGTTTGTATTTCTTCCTATGAAAACTGCTCGTCCTTATCCGTTGACAGCTTCCTGTTAGATTTTATTGGCAAGATATAGAAATGCTGATGATTTAGGTGGCTTTATTTTATGTCCCTCAGTTTTGCTAAAGTTGTTAATTGTTTCAATTAGTTTTGTAGTTGACACTCTAAGATTTTTTCGGTGAATGGCACCTTTCTTATAAGTTTGAATCAGTTCCCTGTATATCTTAGACGAGATCTTTTTTTCAGAAAAACTTGCTGTCAATATTTTCCTCATTTGCCTGCTTATCTTCTCATTTTAGCTGCATTGATTTTGTTTGTTAAAAAAACAACAAACTTTTGAATTTTCTGTAACCAAAATTGCCCATTTTACCAACTGTGATCTTCTCAGTGTCTCTTGACTGGTCACAAGCGCTTCCCTTACCCATATGTCTAAAAGGTAATTTCTTTCTTGCTCTTGTAATTTGTCAATGTCACCCTTTATGTCCAAGTCATGTATCCATTTGGCACTTATCTTGGCACCTGGTGTGAGGTTTAGGTTAGACCTGGTTTCTTTCAGTCTACTTTCCACTTTTCCCAACAGTTTTTGAAAAATAGTGACTTTTTTCCCCAATAACTTGGATCTTTGGGTTTATCAAACACTAGGTTATTGGGCTCAGTTGCTTCTACATGTTTCTTACCTGATATTCTGCTGATCAACCTCTTTATTTAAGCACTACCTAATTATTTTTGTAATTGTACATCTGGTACTGTTAGTCTCCCTTCCTTCCCACTTTTTTTAAACTGAAAGTCATAACTATTTATTTACTGAAAATCACAAATATCCTAAAAAGTGATGAACCTCTTTTTTTATTAATTAATTTTTTAGTTTTCAACATTCATTTCCATAAGCTTTCGAGTTTTAAATTTTCTCTCCCTCCCCATGATGGCGATCAATCTGATTTGGCTCTACAAATACATTCCTATTAAACATATTTCACATTGGTCATGTTGTAAAGAAGAATTAGAACCAATAGGAGGAACCACAAGAGAGAAGAAACAAAACAAAACAGAAGGAAAAAAAAAGAGCAAATAGTATGCTTCTATCTGCATTCAGACTCCATAGTTCTTTCTCTGGATGTGGATACCATTTTCCATCAGGAGACTTTTGGAGATGTCTTAGATCCTTGCATTGCTGAGAGGAGCTAAGTCTATCAAAGTTAGTCATCACACAATGTGGCTGTTACTGCTTCCCACTTTTTAAAATTAATTTTCCTTGAGATTCTTGATCTTTTGTTCCTTCAGATGAATTTTGTTTATATTTCTACCAGCTCCGTAAAGTTATCCCTCAGTCATTTGATTGATATGAATAAATAAAATAATCTAGGTGATATGTCATTTTTATTCTATTGGTTTGGTCCATCCATGAGCAAGTGATATCTTTCTAGTTATTTAGCTCTGCCTTTATTGGTGTAAAGAGTCATAATTGTACTTCTATGGTTCCTGTGTTTGTGAGTAAACATTTTATATTTACTATAGTTATTTTAAATGGAATTTCTCATCCTTTCTCTTCCTGCTGGATTTTGTGGAATATGTGGAATATGCAGAAATGTGGATGATTTATGTGGGTTTGCTTTGCACCCTACAGCTTTACCAAAGCAGTTCATTGTTTCAGTTAGTTCTGCAGATAACACTTTCAGACCGTGACGTCCTCGGCCAAAATCGGTCATTTTGTTTCCTCTCTGATTCTGCTTATTCCTTCCATTTCTTTTTCTTGCCTTATTGCTACACTTAGATTTTCTGGCACTGTGGCTGGTGGGAGTGTTGACAACGGCCATCCTGTTTCCCCCTGATCTTATGGGGGAGTCTCTAGTTTACCCCCATGACAGATGAGACTGGCTCTTGCTATCAGATAGGTTCTACTTTGCATATCAAGGACATGGACATTTATTCCTATGGTTTCTAGGTTTTTTCTTTCTTTCTTTCTTCCTTTTTTTTTTGTTTGTTTGTTTCTAGGTTTTTTTCAATAGGAATGGGTGTTAGATTTTGTTGAAAATTTTCTCTGTATCTATTGATAAAATCGGGCGGCAAGGTGGCTCCATAGCGCATAGAGCATTGCGCTTAGAATCAGGAAGACTCATTATCCTGGGTCCAAATCCATCCTCAGATACTTACTAGCTGTGTGACCCTGGGCAAGTCCCGTGCCTGTTTGCCCCAGTCCTCATCTGTAAAACGAGCTGGAGAAGGAAATCGCTCTAGTATCTCAACCCAAAAATCTCCAAATGGGGTCACAAAGAATCAGATACAACGGAACCCGATGAACAACAACAAAGCGGACCGTATCACCTGATTTTTGTTTTTAATATGTTTCTAGTTTTCCTGAGATTGCAGCAACCCCGCATTTTGGGTGTAAATCCCACCTGGGCAAAGCTTGTAATCTTTGCCATGTGATTCTATGGTGTAAAGCGCATTTTTTCACCTGTCCTTCAAGGCCAGTCATCCTGATTATTATAATTATGCCTGCTTCAGGTTCACTTTTAATTCAGAAAAGGTGAATTATTCATCCAAACAAGACCCTAGCCTTCTTGCAGGTTTCTGTAGTAATCATCAAGTGCCTTCTGTCCGGCCTTTACCTGGGACGTGGGCGAACAAGCCCTTTCAGGGGCCTGAATTTCCATCTTCTCTGGGCTCCTTTCTGGGTGGATGAGCTGGGGCAATCCCTTTGGCTCTCCGGGTGTTAGACGTGGAGGCTGGGGTAATGACAGCCCACGTCCTGGCCCCGGCTCCGGTTTTTCACACGGCTGCTTTGGTAGTTTCCGCATCTGCCCCCCGTGTAGGAGGCATGTTTTCAAAGCTCCTGGGTCCCACTTTGCTCCACGTAATGGTCTCTCTTCCAGGGAAGTTTGCCATCCGTCCCGACAAGAAGTCGGAGCCTGCCATTAAGGTGGTGAAATCGCTGGGCATGATCGCAGGAGGGACAGGTAGGTGAGGAGGGATCTTTGGGGCTGTGCGCTCCACTCGCCACCCCGCCTGCTTCAGCTTGGAACCTGGGCTCCCTGGGGACCCCCGCGGGTCAAGGCCCTCCCCAGCTGCCACGGTGGATCGCTCAGAGCCTGGCAGTTTAGATAAACAGTCCCTTTGATAAAAATGTCCGACAGCCTTAAAGGCAGGCCCCAAGGTTGTGAGAAGCAGCCCAAGAAAGTAAGAGCAGGTAGAGGTTGCTGGCAACTTCTAAACAGTTGGCAAGGACGTCCCCTGGGCTCACAGGGATTCTCCTGCTAATGCTCTAGAACTGTTCCCCTCCTGCTCGTCCAACGGCCCGACCCCAGGTCCTCGGTCAGGGCCTGTGGACTCCGGCTGTCCCGGCTCTGCCTCACACACGCTCTTGGCTGGATGTGGGGTTCGTTTATGCCTGTCCCCCCTGCCCCAGCCCAAAGCTGGGGGGTTGGGGGTGCATACACATACGCACACACGTGTGCACACGCCCACACATGTTTTCTTCCAGGCATCACCCCGATGCTGCAGTTAATACGCGCCATCATGAAGGACCCCGACGACCACACCGTCTGCCACCTGCTCTTTGCCAATCAGGTCAGTCCTGGCCCCTGGGTCTCCGGATATGCCCTAGCCCGAGGGCACAGGTCGGCTCCAATGCTTCCGGGCTGGCCCTCGGCCTGGGCCTCCCGGCCTCCCCTCTTGGCTCGGCTCGGCCCGTCCTGGGGAAGCCTCCTGTGATCTCACAAAGCTGCCGGGATCTACTCTTGCAGGGCGTGGTCTCCGCGCCCCCAGCAGAACGGACGCTTCTTGAGGGCAGCTCGGCCAAGGGAAGGTCTTGGCATCCCCTGCGCCTGCCCCGGGCCTGATGCTTAATAAATGCTTGTGGGGAGAGACAAGTTTGGGGACCCTCTGACAACAGCCCCATGGGACCTCTAAGGCTTGAGAATTCGCCAACTCAGTGAATGTCTTCTACGAGGCCTCAGCCCTGCTGGCCCCTCTCCCTCCCCTCCTGTTATCTGCATTTTACAGATGAGGAAACTGAGGCTCAGAGCAGTTAAGGGACTTCTTGCCTGAAGGTCCCTTCCGGTTCTGGATCTGGGATCCTATCAATGACCTTGGGCAAGTCACTTCTGCTCCTGGGGCCTCAGTTTCCCATTCTGTATGATGTTCAGTTGTTTCAGTCACGTCCAACTCTTTGTGGCCCCATTTGGGGTTTTCTTGGCAGAGATACTGGAGTGGTTTGCCGCTTTCTTCTCCAGCTCATTTTACAGATGAGGAAACTGAGGCAAACAGGGCAAAGTGACTTGTCCAGGGTCACACAGCTTGTAAGTGTCTGAGGCCAGATCTGAACTCGGGAAGATGTCTTCCTGATTCTGGGCCTCCGCTCTGTGCCCTCTAGCGGGGCCTTCTGTATGATTGATGACTTCTTTTTTTTTTTTTTTTAAGGCAATTGGGGTTAAGTGACTTGCCCAGGGTCACACAGCTAGAAAGTGTCAAGTGTCTGGTCTGAGGCCGTATTTGAACTCAGGTCCTCCTGATTCCAAGGCCGGTGCTCTGTCCACTGTGCCACCTAGCTGCCCCATTGATCGATGACTGCTAAGGGCCCCCACGATCCCTGTTTCAGGGACATCCCCCGTTTCTCTTCTTCCTCCCTTGTTCTCACTCTCTCTCTCTCTCTCTCTCTCTCTCTCTCTCTCTCTCTCTCTCTCTCGGGCGCCCAAGCCAGCTCCCGGCCCCATTCTTCAGTCGGAGCCTTTCTGGGGATGTTCGCCCTTATTTACAAATGACATACCATGGATTTTTTTGCTTTTGCTTTTTTCTAGCTACTCTCATCTGTGGGATAATCCCCGGGGCTTCTCAGGCTCCCATTGGCTCCGATTCTCTTAGGCCTTTATCTGTGGCCTGAGCCCCTCTGCAGACCCTGGGCCTGGGGGTGCTTGTGAATGGTCTCTGTGATCCCTTCATTCCATGACCAGTGACCCACAGCATCTCAGAGGGGGACGGGAAGCCTCGGAGGGAGGCTCTCACTGGAGCTTTGGTTAAGAGCAGGGCCCTCCAGAGGGCTTCACGCGTCGGGCATGGAGGACTGCGGTGCCTCAGAGTCTGAATGGCCGGGCAGAGGCCCCAGGAGGGGAGGTGTGGTGGTGGAGACGCTGCTGGGCTTACAGTCAGAAGATCTGGCGTCCAATCTCCCCTTTGACACGAATTGGCTGTGCGACCACAGGCGAACCACGGAACTGCTCTGGGCCTCAGTTTCCTCCTCTGTAAAGTGGGAGGGGTGCACTAGAATGGCCCCCACCATCTAAAGTTGTGAGCCTATGACCAAGAGAGCTAAAAGGACCTTGGGTTCAAATCCCACCTCCCAGCTCTGTGACCCTCTGTACGAGGGCAAGGCTATGCCTCAGTTTTCCCACCCACTCTCCCCACAGGCCATGAATGATCTCAAAGGTCCCGGTTAGCTTTGACTCCCAGGGTATGGGCTCCCTCAAGGAAAGACTTTTGTTCAGCTTTTGTTTAGTTTTCTTGTGGGTGACACCACCCAGGCTGCCTGAAGAAAAACCTGTATTGTTCCGGGTTACTTATTCATTGTGAAACCACATTCCAGACTGTGGCGGCTGGACCAGAGAGGTTGCCATGGTGACCCCAAAACTCAGGCCAGATTCTTTCTTTCTTTCTCTGTTTATGCAAAAGAAGGCTAGAGCAAGAGATAAAAACCATACTCCCACTGAGGTCCCTTCCTCTGTTCTCTGATGTGATAAAGGAGGACCTATCTCTATCCTTTCTCAATTCTTTCCTCTCTCCCTTCCTTCCTCCCTCCCTTCCTTCCTTCCTTCCTTCCTTCCTGTTACTGAGTAGAGCCTGAGAAAGTCACGCAGCCATGATGATGGGACACTGTCAGTCCTTGCCATCTAGCTTCACCTGGGCCCTCCTTGCAGATGGCCTTTTTGCTCCTCCCAGGATGATTCCAAACTTCTGTTCCTCCCTCAGTCCACACTCTCATCCCTCTCCCTCTCCTGTCTCCTTCCTCCTTTTCTCAGCCAAACTCCACGACTCAGCTGTCTACACTGACATCCTCTCCTTTTGCCCTCTTCTCAGCCCTTCAGTCTGGGTCCTGACCTCATCATCAACAGATACTGCCCTCAGAGCTCCCACTCTCTGTGGGAGCTGTCCGACGATAGAATGGGCTGCTTTGGGAGGTAGTGAGGTCCCCAGCACTGAGGTCTTCAGGCAAAGCCTGTTTGACCTCTTGTTGGGTATGTTGAGCAGAGGTTTTTTTCAAGCTTACACCAGAATAAATGCTTCATCCCCTGGGATTCTGGTATTCAAATTCGTGGTTGACATCTGTCCTCGGCCCCTTGCGGCCTGAGGCCCCAGGACAGCCCCAAACAAAGTCTTCTTTCAGCCCAAGGATAAAGCCTTCTCTTACCCACTCATACTGCACCACGGAGACATGGGAGCTTTGTCCCTTTAGAATGCACGCAACATGGGTCAGCTTCCACTGAGAACTCCCTCGGACTGCCCGGGCTCCTGGACGTACCGTCAGCCACGCGGTGCCCTAGACTGGGCACCAGGGACCTAGCTTCTTTCCCGGCTGCTGGGTGCCCTGGGGCAGGCACCTACTGCCTCTGCTTGGGCCTCACTCTCCCCATCTGTAAAGTAAAGGCAATGTTGCATGGGGGACAGAATGCTGACTTTGAGGCGGGGAGACCTGGATTTGAAATCCTGCCTTTGACATATATGATCTGTGTGACCTTGGGCAAATCCCTTTACCTTTGTGCCTTTTTCCTCCTCTGTAAAATTGGGGGGGGATAGATTCATGACCTCTAGGGTCCCTTCTGGCTGTAAGCCTGTGATTGCGTGACTCTGCTCCCTCCCTGAAGGCTTGCAGGTAGGCCTGGCCTGAGGAGAGGAAGAGGAGCATCCGGGGAGAGGTTGAAAGGGGAAGGAGATGGAAGCGTTTCAGGCCCTGGTTCCTTTCTCTGTGTCTACCAGGACTTGGAAATGGGCTTCCCAGAGGGGCTGCAGGCTGGTCTCTGCTTCTGTACCGGCTCATGGCTGTGTCACCCAGCAACGCCAGAAGCAGCCACCATCACTGGTGGGGGCTCAAGCTTCCTGACCTAGAAACATAGGCTGGTGCTGTGACTGATCAATGAGGAAGGGGAGGAGGAGGGGGAGGGGGAGGGGGAGGGGTGCTGTTTGAGGATCAGGCTCACTGATCCCTGGGGGGGCGGGGCATGACTCTGCAGGCCATAGGCTGAAGGCGGAGATGGCCAGAAGCAGGGCTCCTGGGGTGCTAGGCACCTGCCCCTTAGACACCTGGGACCTTAGAGGTTATCCTGTCCAGCCCCTTCATGTTACAGATGAGGAAACTGAGGCTGAAAGGGAGGAAGTGACTTGCCTCAGGCCCCTCCCAGATCTGCCATTTCCTGTTCTAATCTCCCTCCTAGCTCTGACATCCCCTGTTCTAAGGGCCCTCCCAGCTCTGACATCCCCTGTTCTAAGGCCCCTCCCAGCTCTGACATCCCCTGTTCTAGGGCCCCTCCCAGCTCTGACATCCCCTGTTCTAGGGCCCCTCCCAGCTCTGACATCCCCTGTTCTAGGGCCCCTCCCAGCTCTGACATCCCCTGGTCTAGGGCCTTCCCAGCTCTGACATCCCCTGGTCTAGGGCCCCTCCCAGCTCTGACATCCCCTGTTCTAGGGCCCCTCCCAGCTCTGACATCCCCTGTTCTAAGGGTCCTCTCAGCTCTAAACTGTATGATCCCAGATAGGGTAGATTGTGTTATCCCCATTTTCACAGATAAGGAAACTGAGGCTCAGACAGACCAAGTTGGAAAGAGCGCAGGCCTGGGAATTGAGGAGACCTGGGTTTTAATCCTAGCTCCACTGACAACTTCCTGTCCTCTTCTGACTTCCTTCCCTCTCTGGACTCCACAGTTCTTTACGTTACTACCGCCATCCCTCCCCCAGCCTCGCTGCTGTCTAAGGTCCTTCCTGGCTCCTGCATCCCATGACTGCAGGGGCCACGCTTCCCGTCACCATCCTGTCACCCGTCTCCAGGGCTCTCTGCAGCTGTCTCTGGAGGGCCTGGGACAGTGCCTCCGACCCTCCCTGGGCCCATCCATAAAGAGAAATTAAGGGAGAAAAAATCCACCGTAGGAAAGTCGAGGTTTCTCGGTCTGGGTGAAGGGGCGCGGCGGGCTGGGTGTCCTTTCTTTGCTTCAAAAGGTCTCCTCTGACAGAACCCCTTCTACAAAGTTCCTGCCTCCTCCCCCCACCCCTTTTTCTTAATGGGGAGCTCCTGGTACTAATACTAATGACCACAGCAATGATAACTCACATTTCTCTATCGCTTTGTGTGTTCTCTTATTTGGTCCTCAGAGCCACCCTGAGAGGGAAGCGCTATTATCATCCTCATTTTACAGATGAGGAAACCAAGGCAGACAGAAGTTCAGTGACTTGCTCAGGGCGACCCTGCCAATAGGTGTCTGAGGCTGGGTCATGCCACCTGGGGGGACTCCCGTCTACCCAAGTTGGGGAGACCTTCTCTGTGTAGCTTAGGGTCCAGAGAGTTGCCTGGGCTCCCTAAGAAGTCCCACAGCCAGAATGTGTCAGAGGCAGCGACTAGACCTGAACCCGGGTCCTCCTGCTTACTGTTCAGGCCAGCTTTCCCTCCCCCTCCTCTCTTAAGGCCCTTTAGGGCGCCCATCTTGGCTAAAGCCTTTAGAGTGTCAGGGTCCCCTGGGGCTGCGGGGCAGTAGGGTCCTCCTCTGGGAGAGGGGCGGGAGGCTTGCCGGGGGGGGGGGGGGGGGGGGCGGGGGGGGGGGGGGGGGGTCTTTTGAATGCTTGCTTCACTTCTGGGGGTCCTTCAGGGGTGACCTGCCCAGAGGCAGGGAAATGGCCTAGATGACCCTAAGGATCACTGGAGGTATAAGAGCTGCTAGGTTCTAATCCCAGCAAGGCCCTCCCTGTGCGATAAGAGAGTTCAGAGGAACCCCCATTTTTGTAAATCTTTGGGGTCTACAAAGTATTTCCTCATGACAGGTCCGTGAGACGGGAGGTGACCATGGTACCTGGAGGCTCAGGAGTAGTGGGGTGGGGGGGTCACGAGGAGGAAGAACATCCCTTCCCCATTTATGGCTGAGCCTCTTGGGGGAGAGCTGGGCTGAGTGCGTGTCTCCCACCTTGTCCCGGCCTCCCCTGCCTCCCTGCCTCTGTCTGACTCTGTCTTTCTGGGGGCCTCCCTCCTGCAGACAGAAAAGGACATTCTGCTCCGATCTGAGCTGGAGGAACTGAGGAACCAGCACTCAGCCCGGTTTAAGCTCTGGTTCACTGTGGATAAAGCCCCTGAAGGTGAGGGGGTGGGGGTGGGGAATGTGCCAGAGGGAGGGGCTGTCCCAGAGGTGGTGGGCTGTCCCAGGGATGGGGAATGTGCCAGAGATGGGGGGCTGTCTCAGAGGGAACAGCTGTCCCAGTGGTGGGGGGCTGTCTCAGGGGGACAGATTGTCCCAGTGGTGGGGGGATGTCCCAGAGGTGGGGGGTTGTCTCAGAAGAAGGGGCTGTCCCAGGGGTGGGGGGCTGTCTCGGGGGGGGATTGTTCCAGTGGTGGGGGGCTGCCCCAGTGATGGAGGGCTGTCCCAGAGGTGGGGGGCTATCTCAGAGGGAGGAGCTGTGTCAGCGGGGGGGGGCACACCTTCCCTGGAGATCTCCCAGCAGAGGCTGACAAACCCCTTGTCAGGGATCCTCTGGGCTTCTGGGGGTGCTCTTCATATGTGGCCCCAAAAGAGGGGTTATGAGCAGAGCTGAGAGTCCAGTGGATGTCTCCAAGTCCAAGGCTTCTGCCAGACCTCACTGGCTCGTACACTTGGGTGGAAAATGAGGGAAGGCCTCATGGAGGAGGTGTTTCATTTGAGCTGGGCCTTGAGGGATGGGCGAGATGGCAATCGGTGGGGTTGGGGAGGGAGAGGGGAATTGAGGAAATTTTTCACTGGGCCAGTCTCAAAATAATCTATTTCCTCCCCCCTCCCTTGACCCTTCAGATTGGGACTACAGCCAAGGGTTTGTGAACGAGGACATGATCCGAGAGCACCTGCCTCCCCCTGAAGTCGATCCCCTGATCCTCATGTGTGGGCCTCCTCCCATGATCCAGTATGCCTGCATCCCCAACCTGGACAAAGTGGGGTACTCCAAGGAGCTGCGCTTCTCCTTTTAGGGGGGACAGTGACCTGGGGCAGCACGCAGGCGGGGAGCTGGCTTACGGGAACACGGTCACACATATACATACATTTACACATATGCACACATACATACACATAAACCAATGGGCCCGTGTCAGGTGCTGAGAAGCCACACCCGACCATAGGTCTCTAGACTGGCAGCCCTCCCCCCAGGAAAGCAGGCAGGCCTCTGTACCTTCCCCTCCCAGGCTGAGTGGGTGACTGAGTTCCGTTCCTCCGCCAGGGGTGACAGTTCCCAGGTGGGCGGTCACGCTGGTCACTCGGCTGGAACGTAGCCACTCCCAGACACCGAAGCATCTTTCCACAGTTCATTTCTTTCAGTCACACGCTGCCTAAAAAGTCAAGGGTCTCTTCCTTTTTTTTTTACATTTTTACATTTTATTTTTTCTTCTCCAATAAACCCAGCTCCCATGCAGGAAAGGGTTTCTCCAAAGGAGGTGGCTCCAGCCATGGCTGGTCTGCACTCCCTTGGGGCCGTCACCCACCCAGGGGCCCGTCCCGGGAGCTTGAGCAGAGTCCCTAGGGAGCTCACAGGGGATCCCACACGCCCACTACCCCTTCCGCAGGCTGGGGCAGCTTCCAAGTCCTGAAGGGGGCGAGAGGGGGCCAGCTCCAGAGGGGCCAGGCAGCAGGGCACCACGGCCTCCTGGGAAGTCACGATGGCACCGGGAGGGCAGGCTCACTCCAGCCGTCCTCCTTAGCCCGTGGTGTGATTCATTTATTCCTCTGCCTCAGAAGGGAAATGGAAAGAAAGCTGCTTGTTTTGGGGGAAAAGTACTCAAAGAGTTGTGGAGGACTTATAAGGAGGGGAATCTGAAAGCTGGGAGTGGGCCAGGCGCGGTGTGAGGGCGGAATTACTGGGCAAGCGGGTCCAGCTCCTCCGATAGGAAGCCCAAGCGGTCAAGGTGTGTGTGTGTGTGTGTGTGTGTGGGTGTGTGTGGGTGTGGGTGTGGGTGTGAGAGAGAGAGAGAGACAGAGACAGAGAAACAGAGGGACAGAGAAGGACAGAGAAGCAGACAGGAGAGAGAGAGGGAGAGACAGAGATAGAGAGAGACAGATGCCAGGGGTCTTGGCGTGGTCAGACAAAGGTCCCAGCCCCCTGCCCCTGCCTCTTCCAACGGCAGCCTCAGGAGGAAGCCAGGTTCCAAAGTGTTCTTCCCCCTAGGGGAGCCTCTCCCCCAAGAGGCCAGGCAGTCTAACATCTGTACCAGATGTGTGGTTTTTCTTCCTTCCCTTTTGCGAGGGGTCTGCCTCTGCTAGTAACTACTTTCCCCTTCAAATGTTGCTTTGCGAATAACCGTTGTCTCTTGGCATCAGAGGGACAGGGTCACTTGGCCAGGCTGGGTAGAGGTGTGTGTGTGTGTGTGTGTGTGTGAGTGAATGACGGTGTATTTGCGTGTGTGTGTGTATCCTCGTGATGGGAAGGAGAGAGGGTGGCCGAGAGGGAGGCAGCAGCAGCAGGGGCTGCAGAGAGAGAAGGGGCTAGGGAACGGGGAGGGTGGACGGGAGGCCCCTTCCTGCATTGGGCCATTAGCGCCGACCTCGCGGTGACTCGAAGTGGACGGACCGTTCCAGGTCGGGCGGAACTTGGGGCCAGAACGGCCCATGGAGGGAAGACGCTGCGGGCGCTGCCCGGGTTTGCTCCCCCAGAACTGCCTTTCCACATCCTGGTTCCGCCCAGCTTCTGGGGGCACCCCCGGGCTCCCTGGGCAGCAGGGGGGTCGGGGCAGTGGGTGCTGCCAGCAATGCTTTTGTCCTGCTTCCTTCTCCAATAGTGGCTTTCTTCCAGGCTACAGTTTTTCTTTTGTGCAGAAAATAGAATAAAACTTTGCTCAATGTTGCTTTGCTGTGGCTGTTTCTTTGTCAAGGAATGAATCAGCTTTCCTCCAGGAAACTTGGGACTGGGCTGTGGAGGTCAGGGCTGGAGTCTCCACACCAGAAGAGCCTTCCTAATCATAAGATCTGCCCACACTGGAATGGGCTGCCTTGGGAGGTAGTGAGCTCCTTGTCAGTGGAGGAACTTAAGTAGAGGCTGGATGTTGGGAGGCTATAGGGGTGTGTGTGTGTGGGTGTGGGTGTGTGGGGGGGTGGGGGGTGTGGGGGTATGTGTGTGTGTGGGTGTGTGCGTGTTGAGGGAGGTTTTTTTGGGGAAACAATTGGGGGTTAAATTACTTGCCTAAGGTCACTCAGCTAGTAAGTATCTGAGGCCGGATTTGAACTCAGGTCCTTCCGACTCCCAGGTTGGGGCTGTGTGCACTATGGCACCACCTAACTGCCTTGAGGTTCTTAAGTAGAGATTGGGGGACGTGCCCTGAGGTCTCTGCCCAAGATGAGATTCCACATAAACACAGAAGAATGGCTTTGGAAGGGGAGAAAAGCTGCCAGTGTTTGCAGCTGGATCCAGGGGACAGGATGAGCGGTGTGCATGTGCAGGTGTGGCTCATTCAGGATGCTGCCCTGGGCAGCCCGGGACATCACGAGGTTTCTGCAGTGCTGAAGGACCGGTGACTCGCAGGGCAAGGGACCAGGTGGGCTGCAGGTGAGGCTTCAGGGTACAGGGGAAGGCAAGGATACTGGAGGATGGTGCCGTGGGTACCCTGTAATTTGGCACCCTGGGCAATGCCCCACTCACCTCCCCTAGTTTCATGGGGTTCTCATTTAAAATGTACTAGGCCCACCCCTAACACCCAACTGGGTCCTTCACCAGGCTATAGCATGTCAGCCAAGGCAGGCAGGAGAGCTGCCAGGACCCCAGCACCCTGGTAAAGAGCGTTTAGAGGAAAGGGGAGAGAGAATGGCAGACAGAGACAAGACAGGGAGAGAGAGGGAGAGAGAGAGAGAGAGAGAGAAGGAAGAGAAAATCAGGGCAGGCTTCGTGGAGGAGGTGGAAAACCTCTCTGCCCAGTCCAGTCAGCCGGTCTGTGTCAGCACAGGCTACAGTGTAACTGGCCCGTCTTTATCATGAAGAACGTCAATAACCATCCTGTAGTCTGCATGGGACACAATCACAGCAACCCTACGCTATCTCTATCCCACAGTAAGAGGGCGCTCTTCCTCCCAGGCTCCCTCCCTGAGCTTCGTTCTGCCCCAGACTGCTCAGATGTACAGGGCAAACCTCCAGACGCCCTTTCCTGCCTGTGTAAGAAGAGGGTGAGGACTTTAGACCAGTTAGTCCTAATCCTGTATTTACTCTTTGCTATTTACTTTTAACATTCATTTACAAATTTTTTGAGTTCCGAACTCTCTCTCTCCCTCCCACCCGTAGGAAGGCAACGTGATATCAGTTATACATGTGAAGTCATGCAAAACATACCTCCGTATTAGCCATGTTGCCAAAAATACCCCAAACGGTAAAAAGTAATAAAAAATAAAGTGAAAAAAGGAATGCTTCCATGTGCACTCAGAGTTCATTGGTTCTTTCTCTGGAGGTGGACGGCATTTTTCATCTTGAGTCCTTTGGAATTATTTTAGATCATTGTGTTGATCAGAGTAGCTGAGTCATTTACGGTTGTTATTGTGTAAACTATTCTCTTGGTTCTGCCCACTTCACTTTGCATCAGTTCATGTAAGTCTTCCTCTATTTTTCTGATAGCATCCTGCTCATCATTTCCTTTTCTTTTTTTAATTTTTAATTTTTTTTATTAATTTATTTTGATTTATCAATAATCACTTCCATTTTCTCCCCCTTTCTCCCCACCACCCTCCCCAAGACGGCCCCCATCTGATATAGGCTATGCATTTACATTTATATTAAACATATTTTCACATCAGTGATGTTGTAAGTAAAAATTAAAACCAATAGGAAGAACCATCAGAAAGAGAAAACAAAACTCAACAGAAGAGAAAAAAAAATAGCAATTTGACTTCCATAGTTCTTTCTTTGGATGTGGACAGCATTTTCCATCACAAGGTCTCTGGAGATGTCTTAGATCCTTGTATTGCTGGGAAGGGTTAAGTTGATCAATATTGTCTTCACACAACGTGGCTGTTATTGTGTACAACATTCTTTGGTTCTGCTCACTTCACTCAGCATCGGTCCATACAAGTCTTTCCAGGTTTTTCTGAAGTCAGCCTGCTCATCATTTCTTATAGCACAATAGTATTCCATTACATTCATATACCACAACTTGTTCATCCATTCCCCAATTAATGGGCATCCCTTCAATTTCCAATTATTTGCCACCACAATGAGAGCTGCTATAACTATTTGTGTACAAATAGGTCCTTTTCCCTTTTCTTTGATCTCTTGGATTTTTGAGTTTCTCAAACCTTAGTTTACTACGGTCATTTACTACAATGTATTATGTACATAATGTATTCGACTGATCCACCACTCTATTTCTTAGACAGTACCAGATGGTTTTCCTGATTACCATGATTTCATGACAGTTTGAAACCTGGTACTGCTAGGCCACCTTCCTTCATATTTTTTCCCCCACTGATTCCCTTAATATTCTTGACCTCTTGTTCTTCTAGATGAATTTTGTTATTTTTTTTCTAGCTCTATAAAATAATCCTTTGGTAGTTTGATTGGCATGGCACCGAGTAAATTATTTTAGGTAGAATTGTAATTTTTATTATATTGGCTCAGCCCACCTATGAACAATTAATATTTCTCCAGTTGTTTAGATCTGATTTTATTTGTGTGAAAAGTATTTTGTAATTGTGTTCATATAGTTTCTGGGTTTATCTTGGCAGGTAAACTCCCAAATATTTTATGTCTGCTGTTATTTTAAATGGAATTTCTTATTCTATCACTTCCTGCTTGGTTTTGTTGCAAACATATAGAAATGCTAATGATTTACATGGGTTTATTTTATATCCTACAACTTTGCTAAAATTGTTAATTGCTTTAGTTTTTTAGTTGATTCTCTAGGGTTCTCTAAGTATACCATCATATGTATGAGTGACAGTTTTGTTTCCTCATTGCCTATTTTTATTCCTTCAATTTTTTTTCTTGTCTCACTGCTAGAGCTAGCATTTCTAGTACAATATTGAATAATAGTGGTGATAAAGGACATCCTTGCTTCACCCCTGGTCTTATTGAGAAGGCTTCTAGCTTATCCCCATTACAGATAATGTTAGCTCTTGGTTCTAGGTAGATACTGCTTATTTTTGAGAAAGGCTCCACTTATTCCTATGCTTTCTTGTGTTTTTAATAGGAATAAGTGTTGTATTTTGTCAAAAGCTTTTTCTGCAATTATTGAGATAATTAAATGATTTCTGTTGGTTATGCTATTGATATGGTCAATTATGCTGATAGTTTTCCAAATATTGAACCAGCCCTGCATTCCTGGTATCCCTCCCACCTGGTCATAGTGTCTGATCTTTGTGATATATTGATGTAATCTCCTTGCTAGTATTTTACTAAAATTTTTTTTTATCAATGTTCATTAGAGAAATTGATCTATACTTTTCTTTCTCTGTTTTTCTCTTCCTGATTTTGGTATCAGCACCATCTTTGTGTCATAAAAAGAATTTGGTATGACTCCTTCTTTACCTATTTTTTCAAATAGTTTATGCAACATTGGAATTAATTGTTCCTTAAATGTTTGGTAGGAGTCATTTGTGAATCCATCTGGTCGTGGGAATTTTTTCTTAAGGAGCACATTTGTGGCTTGTTCAATATATTTTTCCAAGACAGGGTTATTTATAATAAGTTATTATATATTATAATAAGATAGGATTATTTATAATAAGTATTATATTTCCTCTTCTATTATTCTGGGCAACATATTTTTGTAGCTATTCATCTCTTTCACTTAGATAATCAGTTTTACTGGCGTATAATTGGGCAAAGTAACTTCTAAAAATTGCTTTAATTTCATTATCATTGGTGGTGTAATGACCCTTTTCATTTTTAATACTGATAACTTGGTTTTCTTCCTTTTTAAAAATCAAATTAATCAGTGGTTTATCTAGTTTATTGTTTTTCCCCCCATAAAACTAGCTCCTAGTTATATTTATTCAATTTTTCA